CCTGCGAATCAAATGTTCACGGGAAGCAGGGGAGGGGTGGAGTTGGGGCGGGGCTGGGGGCAGGGCGGAGCCCTGTGGAGTGTCCTCTTTTTGGACACTCAAAATATGGTAACCCTACTATTGAACAAAAATCAGGCCCTGAATCTTTAGATGCCATATAAGGACATCTTTTTTTCAGTGAACAATGAAAAATAAATTAAAAATCATACTTCCAAATCCCTGAGGGTTTTTTCCAGCATCTTTCCATACAGCCTCATTTTTCATTTGTACCCAGTTCTTCCAGAAATTAGCTCCTTCTTCTGGTTTGAGTTTGCAAGGAAGATATAAATTAGTCTGTATCTGCAAGTGTGGCAGTGATTGAGAATCCTTGTAACCAGAAGGGAAAAAAAATAAGACAGCCATTTGAGAAAAAAGAAGTTTGGTATTATAGGCAAAGAAAGATTATAACCTTAAGTATATGCTGCTATTGTACTTAACAATATTTAAATTCTCTTAGAATTTCCATTATAAATTGTATAATCTCAGCAGTTTTACAACCTGCTTTTAGATATGCAAAACAAGATTATCTTTCTCCAAAATGCTTTACAATACTATCTGGCAATATTGAGGCCTCGTTTCACATCTTTTTGGCCACTATTTTGAAAAATACTTTGTCAGCGATTAGGGGAGTTTATTTAAATTTTGAAGGCAGAGAAAGGGTTTTTAGAAGTTGATGTCTTTAGGTTTAAAGCGTTACTATTTTGCAGCAGTTATTGAATCTGTGGCATAGCAATACATTGAACAAAAGCATTGAACATGCTGAAGCATGTGCAGGACATTGCCTTTAGGAAGTAGGCCTTATTATGCACAGACATGGACCTCTGCTTAACATATTCCAGTAAAGTGATTTCAAGTCAAATTTATTTATTTATTTTTCAATTTATAAAGATAAATATTTAAGAGGGCCCATCCCAGGTCCGTGCACTCTGCCATTATTTAATCTTGTAGAATTTGTATAATCCCTATCAGCTTCATTTGTTTACAAAAACAGCAGCCTCCAAACAAAATCTGATACCTTAACCCATATCCCTTGCCACCTGCCTGTATCAGAAGCTCCCAGCATGCCCTGAAGAACAAATTAGAGATATTTCTAACCAAAAGGAGGCAGGGAGAGTGAGCTGCAAAGCCAAGGAACCCACAATGGGAATGCTACACTAACCATTCTTTTATGTTATGGGTACTTGATCTCAAGTGCCTCCACTGACTACATCTTTGGCAGTATCGCACAGAGAGGCAGTCTCTCAAGTAGGCGAGTCCCAGGTCATTTAGCATAATAGTAATTGGTTACAGCATCAAACCCGAACAGAATGGTGCCACTGAAAGAAGCTTCCGAAAGAACAAAAGTCAGCTGCCTGTATTCTAAGTCTGATGGACCATTAAACAGCTAACAGGTTACTGTCAACCTCTTGGTGTCAATCCAAGGTATTGGTGACCATCTTTAAAGGTCTGAGTAGTCTGGAACCCAGCAACTTGAGAGTGTCCCACTTTGTACCCAGCCAGAGCTATCTAAGAGCATTCCAGGTGATCTTGTTAGTGTAGAGAGATGTTTGTAGAATATTGTAATTTAGAGACATTCTCTCATAAGGAACAGTACTATGTACATAGGAATTTGGAGATGTGCTTTGGAGGTGCGGGGGGACACACCAGATGGCTGTGTGCAGCAGTTCACCACAGAAGCTCTCCAGTTTGTTTTAATAAAAGTTTTATTCCTTTCTCGTGCATTTGGTTTGTTTAATGAACCCCATGATTGTTACATGTTGTCAGAACAGCCAAATGAGAAGGAAACTGCAGTCAGGGCCAGCTCTGCCTTTTTGGCCGCCCCAAGCAAAAAAAAAAAAAAAAAAAAAAAAAAGACACGGGCGGCCGACGAACGG